AAACTGGATCGGCAGTCTGGATCGGCATTTTTACATGCTTTGCCGATACGCATTTTTTTGCCAATATCGGCGTCCGATCCGATACGAGGATCGGATCGGGACAAGCCTAGTCTAATCCATGTATTTTCTTGGGACTTTATGTATTAGAACAACAGAAAGTGGAGTGGGGATGCAAGTGGAAGGGAAATAATACACAGTTTATTTAAAGATTGGATGGAGAGTGTTTTAAAAGTTATATTTAGGAAAGTCATATTTCAATTTCAAGTCATTCAGGCATAAACGCTTATATAAATGTTCTCTTTATGAGACCATATTGTCCCAAAAGTTAGAAAAAGTCTATTTAAAATCTGTGTTGATTTTTTTCCCCCGTTATCTTATGCAGGCCAGTTAGTTGTACGTCAGCCTGTACATCTAAATTCGGCCAATCATATATCAAATGTTTTTAGTCATAGCATCTTGATTCATATGTTGCTGCTAATATATGCAAAAGTTGAAATAAGAATAAATAATCATTTACTTTACCACTAAGTTACTTCCCAGTGTTCAAGGGGATGAACGTCTGTGTCTTCGGCAGGCGTAGAGCTAACAGAACTGGCAGCGTGTTTGAGCCCTTGCGAGGCCCAATGGAATTTCCCAATGGGAACCTACTAGCACTAAGTTGCTAACTGGTTAGCAAGATGCTTCCGAGATACCGGCCACAACCAAACATGCTTGCGAACCTTCCGCCACAACAATCCCACCCCCTTGATAAACAACCAATCACATTCACTTTATTCTCTCGTGTAAACTTAGGCACCACTTGGGAGAATTCGGAACTACAACTGTTGGAACAGCCGCTTCCCTACGACTTAAACATTTAACTCCAGCCTTGCCTCATATTCTCAAACCTTGATCCTGAATTCACTTGAAGAAAGTAATGATGCAAGAACGCCGATGTTCAAAGTGTTTTCCTTTGGTCTCTGTGCTGTTGGGAGAAGCTGCATGTGAGGAAGAGGACTGGGATTAACTATGTAAAAATGTTAAGAATTATTACAAAGTTCAGCCCATAACTATCTTATAATGATGTTTAGCTCAGCTACCAGCACAGATCTCCTCTCTGTCCGTTTCTGTTTTTATTTTCTGATTTGTTGTCAGCTGCTCAAAGTCTCTCTGGTTCGCTTTCTTATTATTTTCCATTGTGATTAAATCCTGACTGCAGCCTAATTTAGAAAACATATTCTCCTTTTAAATGGCTTTTTACATTTTTTTGGCAACTCAGACATTTTCATTGATTCTGAAAACGCCTAAGAATTGTCATTAGCAAGAACGCCAATAGGAGGACCTGGAAGTGCCCAAAAGTGTTGCATTCATTGTCTGGAAAAGAGTTGGATTTTTGAGTTTCCAGCTGTCCAGATTCCAGTTAGGGGCAGATGGAGCTGATAATTCCTGCATGCCGTCATCAGTCGATCTGTCTGAGAACTTTTTTCATATCTGAACTGTATGATGCTAAGTGTGCCATAGAGTAGATGCTCATCTGAACCGTGAGGTCCTGTATCCTCTATCTGCTGGATCAGCTTCCTGTTTCTCAAATACATGACTGGCAGGGGTCCAATTCTGCCATTTTCACTAATTCGAGCCCCTTTATATCAGACTCCTGATCTCAGTCAAACATCTATAATAATGAAATCTAAATGAGAAGTATTTTAATATCAAAAAGTATCAAACTTTTTCACAGGCTTATTTTTGCCTTCACTCTTAGATCTACTTCCCTTCTGCCTGCTCATGTTAAGATGAACATTTCTGTTGTCAGGTTTTTGCTTTCGTTTATCTTGTGCAGAAATCTGATCTGCTTCAGGAGCCTCCTGTTGAGGCACAGGCAGCGTCTCTTTTCAAGGTGTCAGACGGGAGCTGTAAAACAAAGTGGAAGCTTTATTTTAGCTCTGCTGAACTCCTCTTATTTTTATCGTCGATGTTTCATTACGATTTGTTAAAGCTGCTATTTTTGGCTAAATCAAGTAAACCCATATATGTCAACATGTCCAGTCTTTAAATACTTTGATCTGTAGGCAGATGTGCTTTGGATAGATCATGAATATTTCAATTTATTGACAAAATAGAAGGTTTTGACGAGAAAAATATAACGTTAGAAATAAACATTTATTTTAGCACTGATTTCATATTAAGTTTCAATACAGCCAATGAGGGCTT